AGGCCAGTGCACATTCTAATCAGAGAACCATACATAATTGCAATATACTATAACTGAGTATTGAATTGAAAATACCTGCCATCACCTTCAAATCTTCAAATCAGAATTTACAGCATACAACTTGCAATCATATTCATCTAGACACTAGAGAATAGTACCCTAATAATTATATACCTTTGGAATCTGGATTAAAAAAAGGTGAAGCTAGTTTACTATACTTGAACAGGAAATACGCAACTTAAGGGAGCTAAATCTGATATACGTACATCATAAGTCACAGTCATCAGATGTTGCATACATTACACAAGCATATACTCTTTTAAAATTTTAAGAAAGAGAGGGTGGAATTCATTAGAATGAATGAACAAAACATAAGAAGTTTGGTTCATAGGTACCGTGCTTGAGATGTCATACACGACTACAGCGGCTGCTGCACCACGATAGTACATAGGAGCTAAGCTATGATACCGTTCTTGTCCTGCTGTGTCCCATATATCAAACTTCACAGTGGCTTCACTTAATGACAGTATCTGAGTGAAGAAAGCTGCTCCTATTGTTGGTTCCTGCATGAAAACAAGCACCAAGATCCTCAGTTGTGAAATTTCACATAAATAAGAAAAAAGGAAAGATTTTATCGAAAATACAAAGAGGTCAACAAAAACCTGGTGATCAAAAAACTGGCCTTTGACAAATCTTAATACCAAGCTGGTTTTTCCAGTTCCCATGTCCCCTAGAAGCACCTGAATAAGAAACATTCAAGAAATTTAGAAATGAGCTGTGTCTTTATGAGACAATTCAACTAACTACAAATGAAAATCGACATTGTACTACATTCTCGTAACTTGTAAGCACTGCTCTCATCAAGGAAGTAATGCAAGAAAAGCCAAAAGGTTCTCCTAATATGCTATTAATTCAACCTGAGATTCTATGCTTCTCAAAATACAGGTAAGAGATCAGCTCCTACAGAAACTACCGGACAGTCTTAAGAGTAAGAATGGCACACCTACTAATGCTGGTGTATGCTGATATAAAGTCTGCTGTTTGAATTGCCACACTGCTTTGTACTTATTTCTTTTTCTTTTTTTGGGGTGCAAATCATGAATTGGGGCATTTCAAAATGGTGGAGCCTCAAATCAGCACTTCTGTGGGGTTTAATTTTTCCAGCATGCAGTTGGAAAAAAGAAAATGGATATCTACAATTTACATCAAATTTTGAATTCTAGGCAATACACACAATAAGGTTCTTCTCTTAAGCAATTGGAATTAGAGAAGTCAACGGATTATAGCACCAACCTATAGTAGCAAATGTGCTAAAGGGGTTATTGCACAGATTATTAAGGGATTGAAAAGAACAAATAAAATTAAAAAGAATACTCAAAGTAATGATTTGGAAATAAGAAAGGGTAAGACATACCCACCAGTTTGGCTTGTATGATCTTGTTGCCAGCCCTGGCCATTGGACCACCTTGATCAAAATTGTCCAAGGTTGAAGGAAAGAGAGAGCTTTACACAGAGAGAGAGAGAGAGAGAGAGAGAGGGATAGAAGTTGCTGTTGTCAAAGAGACATAAAAGTTGTATGTGAATTTTCATAGAAAATTAATAGATGGAACTGGAAATTGGACAAAGAAAAGAAAACACTCAATCCCCAGCAGTGGACTGGTAGTTCTGTAATCTGTTGACTGGTAGTTTTGTTGCACTTCTCCATTCTCAATGAAGAAAGCTTGGAAAATAAAACAAAGAAAGCATTCCTTGTGGGCCCATGTATCTTTGACGTAATAATTGTGAGATATCGTTTTAACATGTCTTTGTGTTATTGGTCGAGATAATACTTTCATGCAACGGGGATAACACTCTTTGCTATACCCGATCAATGACGCAATGACATGTGAGATAACTTTTTCAAATATCATTGTGTTATTGACCGGATAGCAAAACAATGCTATCCCGTTAGAAATAAGTTTTCTGCTTCAAAAGGGCCTTATTAATTATATGAGTCCATTGGATATTATGGGACCTACTGAGTACTAACTGGGTGCTGTGCATAGATTGGGGATATTGTATATGAATGAATTTCTCTGCATTGTACCCAAAATTCATGTGCTGGGTCGAAGTTATATTTTATTTCTCTTATGCTATCAAAATCATGCACTCTGGAAAAAAAATAAAAATTGATGGATGAATAGAAAACAAAAAATTTATTATTTCTTGATCTTAACACTTAAATAGAAAAAAAAAAATTAGAGAATATTTAAAAAACAGAGAGAGAAATGCCAAATACTACATAAGCCAAGGTCAACTTGCAGAGGGTGTTCATTTTGTTTCACTTCCTGGATGGGGTCTAGGGAGGGAAAGTAAGAAGAATTAAATTTTCTTCTTGGAGCAACGCTTCACCACAATAAGAATCAAGCCCAAAATTCAGTCTATTTTGTTGTAATTTTTTAAGCGCAAGGAAGTCACCAACTAGTTCTTAGTCTATTAGGTCGTGTCACGTTCGTTCATGCTATTTAATAATGTGTTGAACTTAATTTGATGAACTGCATTTAAATGGCTAATAAGAGTGACATAAGAGTTATTTTATATCACTCTCGGACATTGACTAGACCGATTTATCCTTGTATGATAGAACTCCAAAATAACACACAAAAGAATTAATCCACTTCGAGCAACACTTCACTACCAACTTAATTATTAGAGAGAGTGTTGGTAACGAAATTTATAATAGAATTTTTAGCCTTTCCTTGGTGGTGTTTTCATTGGTTTTCTTATCCTTGAAGTAGAAGTTGAATGCTTTTGCTCGTCACCTTGTTGCCCTCGCCAAGAAAAAGGTAATGAAAAGATACCAACTCCTGCTTCCATCATCTCTTCCAAATTGATGTTCTAACTTCCAAAATCTTCTTGTCATTTTCCCCCACACTTCTTTTCTTCTCTTTTTTTTTTTTCAATATATTTCTTAGTGTAAATTACTCAAATGGTCCTCAAATTTATACCTGATTTACATTTTGGTCCCTCAATTAAATTATTCATTTAAATGGTCCGTCAACTCTATATTAATCGCTCCATTGATCCTATCGTTAAATTATGTTAATGTTGCCGTCAAATGTAAGGGTAAAACCGTCCATAACTATCCTATATTCCCCAAATAGGTGATAAAGTGGTGATAAATAGGTCATAAAATGTTGATAAAGGGGTGGTACATAGGTCAAAAGTCTTATTTACCCCCACAAATGTAGCATGTGCTGCTCACATGACTAAATTTAACAGAAAATGTAACGGTAGGACCAAAATGAAGATTAATAAAGAGTTGGTGGACCATTTGAACGAATAATTTAGTTTAAGGACCAAAATGTAAATCGGGTACAAATTTGAGGACCATTTGAGTAATTTACCCTATTTCTTATTAAATATCTTTTAGGTTTCAGCAATGCTCGTAGTAAGAGATTAGTTTGTTTTCATTCTGAATCTTGCATGAACTCTAACAATTGTTTCCATTAATTTGAGTTCTTCTATATCTTTCATCCTTCCCCTTCGTGTTTTATGTATTATTTAAACTTAAGAATTTCATTAAAATAAGGTGTTTTTCGGGGAGTTTTTTTTATATATAAAAAATAGCCAAAATTTATCTCATACTTTCATAAATGTCAGTTTTATAAAAACTTTCAAAAATAGCCAAAAACACAATTAAATAGATACCCTCAAAAGTAAAACCCACGTGAACCTAAGAAGGAAAACCTATTAGATAAAAGTAGGTGAGTGACGCTGGGCAAAGCCACACCCAACAAGAAAAAAAAAAACTGAGCTCCTTCGATTTCAAAGTCTCTTAGACTAGAACCTCTATCTATGATGCAAAACCCATGAATTTCGCAGCCATGGCAAGCACCAAAGTTTAGAGGATTATGACCCAACCCATTAATTTGATTTTCTGGTTCCTTCAAAGTAAAGCTCGCATTTAGATTTGGCTCTTGATTGAAGGCCGAATAATTGGTTTTGGTGTGTACATGAATTTGGTTCTCTATGAAGCCAAAGAAGTCAGCATCAAGAAAAAACAAGAGAGTAATTGGGAAAGGAGACCTTATCTTAAGCTATATCGAATATTTTCCAAAACTGTATCATGGATTGTAATCCTTTTGTTTTTATTTGAACAAGTTTAGTTTTTTTTTGGAGCGGTTCTTGTTTTACAACATTGATGACAAATGGAATACCTTTGTTGTTTACAAGTGGATTGGAGTTTGGGTGGTGGGTGGTGGGTGGTGGGTGTGACTTAGGGAATCGGGCCCTTGAGGTGGGGAAAGTGGCTTGGGCGTGGAGGTTGACAAGGTGGTGAGTTGTTGAAAGAAAGAAAGAGAGGAGAGAAGAGTGGTGGCGACTGGGATAGGCAGGGATGTGGTGGTGTCTTGTTCATATTTTTAGTTTTTAGGTTTATGTGGGTTTTTGTTTTGAGGGCATTTGAGTATATTTAATTGAGTTTTTGGTTATGTTTGAAAGTTTTTATAAAAACTAACATTTATGAAAGTAGTGAGTAAATTTTGACTATTTTTTATAAAAACTCGTTTTTTTGGGTGTGATAGGACTTTCATTACAACAAGGTGACTCAATATAATCACTTAACCAAACTGAATCCGCTTCAAATCAATAGAGCAAATCTCACTTAACCAAATTGAACCCTATTCCAATCAATAGAGCAAATCTCACTTAACCAAATTGAACCCTATTCCAATCAATAGAGCAAACCCTGCTCACGCTCATGAGTCATATATATTGTTCTATTGCAACAACGAGGTTGAAAACACGCTTTCCCGACCGTTACCCAACTTTTTTTCTTCTTTTGAATTAGGCTGCTAATCCTTTTTCAAACAAAACATAAACAAAAGGTACCTTGCTGCACTCATAATGATAAAAGGAACGTTAGAAAATTACATAATGTCCTATATGAAAATAACTAGGAACTAGGAAGCAACAACTCTACCCCACATGAGTTTCCCCACATCCAAACAAAACCCCTCAAAAGTGCATCCAAACAAAACCCAAAAATACTCTAAACACCCACCCATCTCCCAACCCAACTTCACACGCACAACAAAACCCCCCACCCCATGGCTACCCCCAACTCACCACCACCACCACCACCACCTCAATACATCCCATTACTCTCCGACCAAAAATACGTCGTTTCACCAGCATCACTTCCTCACTCCCACCTCCCACGACGACGTCGTTCAATCTGCCTCGTCATCACTCTCCTATTAGTCCTAGCAGCCGCCAGCTGCTCCGCCTTCCTCTTCTGGCCGTCCGATCCCTCCCTCAAGATCGTACGGCTGCGGCTTAACAGAGTCCAAGTCCACACGCGACCGCACGTGGCCATCGACGTGTCCATGCTCGTGACGATTAAGGTCCGAAACGGCGACGTTTACAGAATGGACTACGAGGCCCTGGAGGTGGCGGTTGGGTACAGAGGGAGGAGTCTGGGGCACGTGACGTTCCAGCGGGGTCACGTGCGGGCGTTTGGTTCGTCCTACATGGAAGCGGAGGTGGAATTCAATGGGGTCGGGGTGTTCTCTGACGTGGTGCTCCTGCTCGAGGACTTGGCTAAAGGAAAGGTACCGTTTGATACTGTTACGGAGGTCCACGGGCGGCTGGGCTTCCTGTTCTTTGAGTTCCCTTTGCAGGTACGTAAGCTTAATTAGTTTTGTAGAGTATAATTAATTAAATTAATTAAGGTTTTAAGTTGAGATTGGTTAATGATTTATGGTTAAAGAAAGAAAGACTTGGAAGTAATGTTTATGATTTTTGTTGGGAAACTTGACAGGCAAGGGTGTCGTGTGAAGTCATCGTGAACACAGTGAATCAGACAATTTTTCGACATAATTGTTACGAGGTGAGCAAGAGATGCATACTACCAACATCTAATGAGATTTATTCATTAATCGATATGGCATGTACATTTCATTTGCCGCATAATTTGGTACTCAAATACCGTATAAAAATATGATCTCCTGATTAGAGTGGTTAACATAAACTCATTACACTACTAGTTAATTTAAGTAATAAATAAGTCGAGTTAGTGTCACAAAGATCGAACTCCTATTACTTTTATGTTGGTCAAACAAACTTGTTTAAGAAACCAAATTGGGTTAGTGTGTTAAGTCATATAGCACAAATGATGAGTTAAACATATGTTAAACCTGCATTGATTGTTATCTATTGGGTAGCGATTTCGACACTCTTAGTTTAGCTTTTGTCACTCTAAAATGAGCATTTTATAGTTTTTCATAAACTCACAATGAAAATGCGAAAAGCTAATGTAGGAATAATATTGTCACGCATTTTTCATATTGACTATGCTACTGATACCATAGATTTGTAAAATAATTCTTATATGCAACAGCTTAATAGATTTTGTTTTCTTTGTTTTGTGTTTGCAATGTAGTGATGAAGTTGGGCGCAGCAAGCTAGAAGCTTCAATGGGTCATGGGCTTGGTGTTTGCTCCATGCAATGATTTACACACTGAGAAAACTTGGGGCTCTGTGAAATTCACAAATCGGAATATGCATATATGCCGACTGCATGTCATGTGTGATTATGAAATGGGATATCGTATTGGTGAGGGGAGGGCAATTTGTGTGTGTAAAATAACTGTAGGAAAACAAAATTATTCATCCTTTTTCAAAATGGGGTGAGATGAGCATTTTGGATATGTAAAACAAGCTTTTCTTTATTTGCTTTGACTCGTTTTTTTTTTTTGGTCGTAATTTCTCTCTCCTCCTCAGCAAATGTTGACTGACTATTCACAAAATCACCACTTTAACTAGTCTGTTGGGGCACTAATCTTATGAAACTTTTGGATTCTAATCTTAGGTCAAATTGGATAGGATAGGATACAAACATAACATTGTAAGGTGATTGAGCAGTTATCCTTGTGCACTTAAGGTCCTGTGTTCGAATTCTCTCTTCCAAAATATCGCTTGTATATATATTTTTTTAAGTGATAGGGCCAAGCAACCACACAATTATCATATCAGACCCAGTTAATAAAAGAACTTTGCTGTCAATTGGGCCTTCCACTTCCCTTTGGTACTTAGTGAGTGGCTAGTCCAGTCCAACATTCCAAAAGAATTTTTTTTACCCAAGAAAAAAGGTCTTAAGAGCACTTCCGCCCTTATGGGCATGGGCAAGGCAAGGGGTGTCACTATTCATGTGAATAGTGGCTGCCTTGCAATTTTGTTTCCACTCTTAGAGCAACTCCACCCATTTGCCCCTTGCCATGGCAGGGGGGGATAGGGCTGCCACTATTCACGTGAATAGTGGTTGCCCTTATAAATAGTAAATTTTGTGTTTCCACCCATTGCCATGGCTAAGGGCAATTACTATTCATTTTTTTGTTTTTTTCACAAATTTTTTTACCTCAATAATTAATTTGAATAATATTTTCGGATAAGATTTCCGGGTTCCTACGTGTCACGACTATCATAATCGGATAAAATTTCGGGATAAGATTTTTTGGTTCAATTTTCGGATGAATTTCAAAATTCAAATTTCAGATAAATTTTGAATAAAGAGTGAATAATAGTAGAAGTAGAATAAAATGTATAAGGATTGGTGTTGAAAGTGAAGGGTATTAATAGGTATTTATAGAAAAAAAAAAATCAAAATTTTTTAGTATTTTTTTTCATAATTTTATTGCCAAAAAAATGCCAGCCGTTGGATTGGAGGAGAGAAGCAGATCGGAGCCCCCAGGTTACGACACCTGTCTTCTAGCCGTTGGTGATCACGCAGGGCTGACGTTAGCACGACGTCAGCGCAAGCGAATTCAAATTTTTTTAACGTTAAAAAAAATTGATTGCGCTCACTGACGTCGTCCTGATGTCAGCACGACGTTACCCCAAACCGAGTTTTGGACCTCGGGCTGAACTGGCCTTCGGGCCAGCCCGACTTGCTGGGACCTGCACCTTGCCCGGGCTTGGGCTCACCGCTGGAAACTCCTTTTTTTGGTTTTCTCCCCCCAGCCTTGGGCTAGGCTCATGGCTGGAACTGCTCTTATGGGCTAGGGCAAGGGCAATTACTATTCACATAAGATATGAGAAGATGAATTTGTATAGAGTTTTTGGTGTGGGAAGTAAAGAATATGGCTAGGTATTTATATAAAATAAAATAAAATAATCCTGAAATTTTTGGTTTTTGTTTTTCCAATTTTTTTTCAATTTTTATTAGTTGCTGATGTCATTATGATGTGAGTATTGTGTCATTTTGCCCAGACGGCAACTCGGGCTGAACTTTCTTGTGGGCTTGCCCAAGTTGCTGGAGCCCACTGTTTGCTCGGGCTAGAACTCTTGCGCTGGTGCTGCCTTTGATTGCTTGGGCCCCCCTCTTACCAGGGCTCCCCCTCAGCGGTGGAAATGCTCTTAATGCTCTTAATGCTCACTGCCAAGACAGTAAATTCTTGTTCACTGGGTTAAGAATTTCTATTGTTTTCTAGTTGAAAATTCCGAGTAATGCTGCTCAAGTAAATTATTGTACATAGAGATGCTGAAGTTTCACTGCAAACACAAAAAACATAATAAATATAGGGAAGCCTCAGAAAGTGTTCCCCTCCTGCACTATAAATAGTCCCAGTAGAAATCAGCATGCACTTCTCTATTATAACTTGTTCTGAAAATTGAAGACCAACTTTGAGCTCCTCTTTCCCTCCACATTATGGACCTCAGCTACACCTGCGTGAAAATTGGGTGTGAGAATATGGTTTCCCTCGATGCATTGGCAATTACTAGAGATCAATCCAAGGTTCATGTGCCAGTTAGGTGGAGAATGTTGTGGAGAAAAATAAAGAAAGAGAAGAAGAGGTTGCTATTTGATTGTTCAACCAGTGCTCAACAAGTCCATGTTCCTTATGATCCTTACACGTATTCGAAGAATTTCGATCAGGGTTCGATGTGGGCAGACCCCGATTTCCTCTCTCGATCTTTCTCAGCTAGGTTTGCTGTTCCATCTAGGGTTTTCCATCAGACTCAGAGTGTAGGCAGCTGATGGGAAAGAAAAACAGAATGGTTGGTTGGTTAGTGTTTGATTTCTGAGTTCAGCTAGCTTTGCCTCACTCTCTCTCTCTCTCAAAGTATTTAATTACCGTATTAGCTTCAGAATTAAGTTATATGAGTTATGTAGTTTTTCTTGTTCTTGATATATGCCATCTGATTATCTCTCCTTAGTTAGTAGGTTTAGCTATATGATATCTTGTTTTGTTAGAATTAATTAATTTCAGGAATGTGTTCATCTTCTTCTTCTTCTTCTCTGTCTACAGTTTCTCTTCTTTCTTATTTTTTCCTGATCAAGATAAACTACATCAAAAGAGTAAACAATGACAGGGGAAAGCGCACAAATTTCCAAAAAACAGAGAAACCATGTCTAAAGTTACATGGCCTGTTTTTTGTGTGTGTAAAAAGCACATGAAATTGCAAAGTTAATAGCATCTTAAAAAGCAGGATATGTTATTACTTGGGAATTATTATCCCTTTCCAGTTGAATTATTGAAAAATTAAAAACAAAAACTGTGTAGAATTATAATACAGAGAGTACGTTTCTGTCTGCACGTCAATTGCAAAGACACAGCTGCTTTTTTAGACTGCTGGTGCTGACAGAATGACTTTTCTTTATAGTCAGGAACCAAACAAACAAAACCATTAAATGCCTTGCTGCTACCAATTGCAGTGTGTGGACCACTGCCATCTAATACGTGTACAAAAAGTAGATATAAGCAAGCAAGCATGTGCTTCATACTTAGGTTGGAAGACCAGTGGGTCACTGTTTGAATTGGGATGTCCTTACTCACTCAGACCCATTTTTCATTTCAGAAAAATTGATTTTATTCTCCCAAAATTGTTCAAACCAAAAGTAAGTAGGGTTTCTAAGCATTGATGGCCTCAACACGTTTATACATATGCAATTTCGCACATCTGCCAGTGTGTGTATAGATCTCAAAATCAATACAGCTTTTGAACAGTTGAGACTTGATGAATTCACAACAAAAGTTTGAATTCTCGGATAATATTAGACACTACGTACGCCCCATATAAGTTTGAATTCTCGGAAAATATGTCAACATTGTATATCAAGTTAAATCCTCCTTCACGTGTAATTATTCTTAGCAGATGGAGATGAGGGTTGACGGTTTTGAAGACAGACAACCATTATTAGGCCCCCAAAACTTATCAAGGATATAATTCATAGGAAGTTATTTTAAGTCTAGCAAAAAGACTCGTATTATCAAATCTCCTATTCTTTTTGTGCTTTCAATTCTGCAACTTGTTTTAATGGTACCGTTACTGGTTTGGTAGCGTGTAGATGAAGAAAGGGGTGCAATTTAGGTACACACTCCTATCATTTTCAGAAGGATGCTAGCTTTATTGGGCAAAGTGTATATGGTGTACATAAATGGTCCAAAGGATATCTTCAAGACTTGAGAATTGGTCCCATAACAAGAACAACTACTCATTTAATGATTTTGAAGGGCAGCAGGAACCAAGCTGATCCTCAGCAGCTGAAAGGCATGACGATGGTAAATGCTTAAAGCATATTGTTCCATCCAATTTACCGGACTTACTTAACTACATTCACCAAACCCGACAAAAATATTAAATTCATTTCCAAAGAGATCAACTCTTTGCCTTTCTCAAAAGCTTGAACTTAAATTTGTCATTCTATATGAGAAGTTATAGTCACTGTTTAAAAAAACAAAAACAAAAACTTAAATGGTTAAGATGTGAACAAATAAATAGTTGCTATGCCTCTAAGAGCACTTCCACCCATCTACCATGGCAGAGGGTAAGGGCAAGGCAAGGGCTGTTACTATTCACATGAATAGTGGCAGCCCTTGCAAAAGGTTTGTGGTGTTTCCACCCATTGCCATGACAATTCAAGGGCAACCACTATTCACAAGAGATATGAAGAGAGGAATTTGTAGAGTTTTGGTGTGGGAAGTGAAGAACATGACTAAGTATTTATTAAAAAAAATTTGAAATTTGAAATTTTTGTTGTTGCTGACGTCAGCAATCCTCAAGCTAGAGCACCGGCTCGTTTTGCCTTTGGGCTGGCTTGGTTTCGTGGGACCCAGCAGCTGCCCGGGCAGCTTCAGTTCGCTGGAAGACGAATTTGGGGCTTGGGCCCCCTCTTGCCCTGGCACGGGCTCAACGTTGGAAGTGCTCTAAGAGCATCTCCAATAGCCTCTTGGATTTTGAGTGCTTGGTTTGGTGAGCCACACCAGCAAAACCAGCTTAAACATAATTTAGAAACTAATGGCCCATCGTTTGATAACCATTTTAGTTTTCAGTTTCTAATTTTCAGTCTTCATTTATTAAAAAAAACTAATCAAGTTCGAAAAGTTTGTTGCAGTGCAAATTGTCACGTAGGTCAACAAAGTACGATTCGAAGAGTGAAATTTACTTCTTCTCTTGGAGATGCTCTAATGGCTACAACATGTACAAATTTGAAATTCAATTTATATTGGGGATCTAATTATAGGGAACTAAACAATCTCTAACTGATGGCTTGGACAAACTCTCAAAATAGAGTGCTCTTCAAAAATATATTTATCTACCTCCTGGCTATAATCACCCACCTAACAAAATTTGTTGTTTAACTCACACTTGATCTCTGGGCTCAAAGAGCTCTTAAAGCCTGGTTCGTTAGATTTAGCTGCACCATTGTTGTTTGGACTTTCATCTGAAC